AATTAACAGAGTTTTTATTTTAACAGATATGGAGGCTGCCAATAAGTGGGCAATGTGTTTTTTGCATTTTTGGGACAGTAAAACCCAGCAGCATTGGAAATACATTTTTGGTGGAGGAGATGAACAGGATTGTGTTTGATGAGGTGCAGGCATGCAAGGGGCAGTGCAGCTGCAACAGGTGCTCAAGGAAGTGACTACCTTGCCTACTTAATGCATACGTATCTCTATTGGTCATCCTGTGGCCTGCTGATGGCGTAGAAGGGGAGAAGCAGTGCTCTTTTATCCAGGGAGAGAGAATTGTTCTCCCACAGACATTTCTGGCTTGCCACAGGTGAACCGCTAAGCAGCTCTCTTGAATCACAGATAACTCCAGTAGCTGTGCCAAAGGCTGTTGAAGAACAAAGGCTTTACATTTTGTGCTGCATGGTAGGAGTGACGTGTGTGTTTCTGAACCTCTGCCAGCAGCCCTCTTCTGGACTCTCAGAGCTATGATGACAAAGGCCCGCAGTGTCCATTGTGGACTTTGCTTTGTAGTTGATTTTGAGGTTCATCCTGAACATGCTGTAGGTTTTGTTGCTTCTCACTGCTTTGCTTTCTCTGTATAGCTCTGGGCCCCAGAAGTGTGCAGCCTGCATTCAAGAAGGAATATACGAAGAAGGCATTTCTATCTTGGAAACTAGTTCGGTAAGAAAGTGAATGTGAAGATGCTGGAAGAATTTCCCCTTTTCTCTGTGGAGCAGTACCAATGTAACCGATGATGGGGCACTTTTCCATAGTGGGTGGGATACATATGTGAACCGATGACTTTTCCATAGTGGGTGGGATACATATGTGTTCTTATGACAATCTTTACAGAAACCCAGATAGGTAGTCCGGTGCCATTCAGGACATGAGAGCAGAGCTGAGGAGGCTAGAATGAAAGCTTACTTGCTAGTGAGTTCATGATCTTTAACTGGAACTTCATAGACCATACACTTAGGTCTTACACTGGTAGCTGGTATAGCACAGGGGCTAAGAGAAGGAACTGCAGTCCAGGAGGTCTCTGGTCCAGTTCTTGCTTCTACTGTGAACGCATTTGGTAGCCTTATGTAAGCCCCCCTCTCTCATTTCCCCTCTGCAAGTTTGGAATAATTGGCCTGTACTATCTTATAGGATAATGGTAATGTGTGCGGAGTGCTTTGAAAACTGAAAGTGAATAAATGCTAAATATTACACAAACTCATTACTTGCTGGCCTCTGTTCCTTGCCAGCTATTTATCTGACCTTGTTCCCCCAACAGTTCAAGATCTCTGTGGGGGATGTGTGGGAGGTTCTGAACCTGGGACCTGAGGGATGGCCAGGAACACAGCTGGATTTGGGAGAGATGCAAGTGCTCAGGGAATGGATTACTGCAGTGGAGCCAAGCGGAAGAAAGGGTTTAGCCAACTGCTGCCTTGTAACCCTGACCAACTGCTGCCTTGTAACCCTGGTAAACCCCGATTGCAGGGCCTGTAAAATGGAGCTGTTCCGCCAGGCTTTTGGTTTAGGCGGCAGACGTTCGACCATTCTGGCCTCCCTTGTTCATGGCCCCTTCCCAGTGCCCTGCTGTTTTAGACAATACTATTGGGCACTGGAGCTTCCTGTGGTACCTATATCCAACTGACATGAGGCACATTTTTTTTTGTTATTGTCTGTTGTGCCATCTGTTTTATTGCTTTTATTGCTTTTTCTTTTTTTTTATGTTGTAAACCGCCCTGAGCCCACTTGTGGGATAGGGTGGGGTATAAATTAAATAAATACTACTACTACTAATAAAGAGGGAATGGAAATGAAGTCTCTTCAAGCCTACAGGCTAGAGTAGATCTGGCAGTGAACCATGACCCCCATAAAAGCTTGCAAGGCTACCCCACTGGCTGGTTAGAGCAAAAGTGCCGCGCTCCCTGCAGTAGACCAGCCTGGCTTCCACTTTGGTTCTCCCTGTGCCCTAGCTTGATAGTGTTGGACTGGAATGTATGGAATGTCTGGGAGAAGGGGGTAGTTTTGGGAAACATTCTTCTCCCAAGTCAGATTTCTGACAGAAGAAGAAATGCATTCATCATGGTGCTGAAAATTCATTTTCTCTCTCTTTAAATATAATTATTTTTTTGTTTCGCTTTGAGGCTTTCCCAGATAATGCAGCCCGACGGGAGGTGGAGAGTCTTCCGGCAATCTGCATCAACGAGGGCTGTGCGTGGAAAGGGACAATTAAAGAATACGAGGTATGACTTGGTTGGTGCTTTCTGTTTCCTGGTAACTGGTGGTATTTTGTGGCAAAGTGCCAGGAATTAGTTTTAGGCTACAGGAAAGGGTGCAGTCTGAGTGCTGGAGCCATTTAGCCAGGCCTGTGCCTGAACTGAAATGGGGTAAGAGCATATAAAACACACAGAATGTGGTGGTGGCCACAAAAAAACAATATTCTAGTTTTCTAACAATTTCTGCTGCAGAGGGTTTTTTTTTAAAGGTCAACTTTTGTTAACTGCATTTTGGAGAGTGCCTATGGACAGAATCTGCTGTAATCTCTAAAATCCTCCCCCCAGAGATAAGAGAAATTATGCAAAGCAAGACAGCATTGTGCAAATGTTTGCGTTTTATAATCTATGCAGGTTTCCCAATATAGTTCTTGCTGCAAAATTTGGGTCATTCTGAAACAACTCTGGCTTTTTTGTTTGTTTGTTCCTATAGCTCAGTGTCCATGTGGTCCTTCATTTAACTTGCTGCCCTAATCGTAACTATGCATTATTTCTAACTACACATTATTTTGTTGAGTGAAGGGGCACCTTGTATAAAGGATTCTAGCATTTCCACTAATTTTGGCTTTTATGTGGAAGGCTGTGTACGTGAGCAATTCTGTTGGAACAATTATTGTTTATGGCAGACTTTGTGTGGCTTCCACCTTTTATGATGTGCTTGCCAGCATCCCTGCTGTCTTAAATGCCTGGTTACTTTCTCTTCTTTGAAATGTTGCCTTTTGCACATTAAACTGGCTCTCTCTGTGGCCGAGCCATGGCTCAGTGGCTCAGCATGTGCCCTGCATACTCACTTTATAGTCTCTGAGAACCTGAGAGAGCTTCCAGTCAGAGGATGGTGTGGTGCTGGCTTAGATAGCCCAAGGGAGATTGTGATACTGTTCTTTGGGGAGAGGTTGGAGCTCATGGCTAAAGGTGGTGTAATGGATGTATTTGCATGTGTGTATTCACAACCATTTGCCCTGCTCTTGCATAAAGTAGGGGTGTTGACTTTTATGCAGAAAGGTGTGTGCATGCAAAGAGAACGAAACATTCTTTCCCCCACCTCACCCTGCTGTGCATCTTACTCACATGTACCTTTGTGTGTTTAAAAAAACAACAATGAAAACTCACTCGCCCCCCCTTTTTTATATATGAGTGTGGCATAGCACTTACCATGTCAGATGAAGAGGTGTGTTCAGATCCCCACTTGGGCCTAAAACTGAATGCCCGGCCTGATTTGTCATGGGATTGTTATGAGGATCAAATGGGAGGAACACCATGTGTGCAGCCCTGGAAGAAAGGTTGGATAGATGTGTGGCAAACAGATGAGTAAATGCGTGTGGCTGCCCTTATTGCCTCTAGTTTCTGCCTCTGTGGTAGAGTGCATCTTTGACATGTAGGAGTGTCCAGGGTCAGTTCCTGGTCTTCTACTGCAAGGAACCCTGGCGAGCTACTAGCAGGCCAAGCTGACAGTGCTGTGCTGACAGGCCTTCTCATGGACGTATCCAGGAGACAGTATGGCAGTGTCCTTGAGAATGGTCAGTCAAGACAATCAGTGGGCTCTGGAAAGGTGGCTTGTAGTGGCAGTGCCCCAACCTTTCTCAGTTGAGAGGAATGAGGACCAAGAGGGAAAGCCTGGAGTCAAAGGACAAAATGCAGCATTTTGTCCGAGCTTGACCCGTGGGCTGTGCGTGTGCTTTGTTTGGTTCATCACCAGCTGAGTTGTGTTCTGTCTGTACAGCCAGCGGCACGTTGCATAACCGGGCGCCAGCACTTCCAGCTTGGAAAGTCCCTGGCGGAGCTGTTCTCAGCCAGGGCCTCCTGGAAAGTCCCTAAAAGTTGGCTCATTCTTTGCTTTGAGAGAGCAGAGAGCATTTCTCTGTGGTCTCCACACACTGGCAGTCAGAGGCACTGCTTGTTGTCCTTTCATGTAATCTGATACTGGTGGGAGGTGAAGGGAAACGGCCCCTCCGTTTGAGACGCTAGTTTGGTTTCTTCCGTTGGCTTTTGCTTCCTTTTCAAAGGGAAGCAAGCTCGGCAAGGATTGCATTTTTAAAAAACGGTGCTGAGATCCTAGTGGGTCTTTTGATATGTCAGAAAGCTCCCTTGTCACTGTAGGAACCATTTGAATGCATTCTGAAGTTTGGTTGTGGGATTGCTGAGAGATGGTCTGCTTTGGGTTTTTTCCCCTGCTGAGCTCTTGGTTGCTATTTGAATTTGGAAAAAAAAATTACTGTTTTCCAGGCTGTCTAAAATTCAAGCAGCAAAAGGTATTCTCTGCCTTAGATGTGGTAGGTGATGCATGTGGCTTGACCAGCAGTTGACGGAGTCAGGGAGAGCTTTTGCATATTCTGTGCGGTGGCGGTTGGTCAGAGCATTTACTACCACTCATGGAGGTTGTTGGAAGCTTGAAATGAGTGAACAGAGCATGGGCAAATCTCACAGGCTGTGCAAGGCATCCAGGAAATGGGTCGCTGGTGCTCCTGGTATTCCTGCATCTTTCTCCCCTCCTTTACCAGTCTGGCAAAAACAGAGTAATTCTTTTTGGGGTAGGGGAAGGAGCAGTAAGGAGAGGGCTGTAGCTCAGTGGTGGCTGCAGGGAATACCCATGTTCAGTCCTTGGCATCTCCAGCGAGAGGATGTTAGAAAACAGGTACTTCTCTGCCTGGACATCTGCTGTCATTCAGAGTGGACAAGACTAAGAGCCAAACTAGCTGTTACCTTTTAAACTAGCTGTGTCTGGGGTTCCCCTGAACAGACTTGCTTTCTTTGTAGTCAAGCAACATACCGGTCTCATTAAAAAAGGTAGCATCTTATTTGAGCCTAAGCTAGGTGGATCTGTATTCTGACTTGGTCCAAGAAAAGTTCTTGGGAGTGTGTCATTGAAATCCCATCCTCGTTGCTTCTCCAAGGGGGAAGAATGCACAGCTCCCTCTTATTGGCAGCGGGTGACAGAGGATGTTTGCATGGGGTGTCTTGCTGTTGTACTTTGGTGCCTTAGTAAGATTCAAGCCCAAATCAGCCATAGTTTTGGGGCGTCACCAAAGTTTCACTCCTGCATGCTTACGCTGCTTTAGACAGATAAAATCGGCAACGTGGGAGGTAAGTTTTGGCAGGTTTCAGAATAGATATGGAAAGTGTAGGTGGGAGCTGGAAAGCCCCAGTCAGTGAAGAGTCTCTTCTCCCCTGTCCCACCCTGCTGGTCCCCACACTTTCCTGCAAGCCAATTTCATAGTGGCAAAATTAGAACTTCCAACGGGCTGGGCCACCTGCCTAGAGATGTAACATTTCCGGAAATTTTGAAGCTCGGGGCCCCCCCCCCCATTTTTTCAGGGAAAAAACACGGAAAGTTTCGGAAAAATTGAAAAAATTACTACATTAGCATTTATTTTGTCTTTTCTAGATTGAAAGTCATTCTGTTACTTTAGGAACATAAAATATGACTATGGACATTTTTACTTGGCATGAAATTATCACAACTAGCATATTAAAAATATAGTGTATCCAAACAATTATCACAAACAGAATACCCATCCACATGCAAAAACAAAACTGAAACTTTTTTATTTTCTTCTGACAATCGCACCTCCTAAAGGAAGAAATGCATCTTGTTCTTGCATTGGAGAGTTCAGTTTGTAACCTAGGACTTAATTGTCCTCAGTGCACAGAAATTAGATCAATCTGGTACCATATATATATATATATTAGAAATGATTTTGAAAATATTTGAACACCTTGTCTTAAAATATTTTATTCATCATGACCAAAAAACAGCCATAAAAAAAAAACCGCCCCCCCCCCCCGAATTTTTCCACATCTCTACACTTGCCCCGGTGGGAATGGCATGTCACGAGCCAGGGAGCTTGTTCTTTTAGAGGGGAGGGGTTGTGGCTCAGTAGCAGGGGCTGGGCTTCAGGTCCCCAGCATCGTCACTGAAGGGATCTCTGTTGTTAGTGTCGTGGTTTTGTAGAAGGCTGTCAAACCAGCCACCTGTCTTCTTGGGTTGTGTGTGTGTGTGTGACACCTCCTTAGTGGTGGCACCTCCGGCTCGACAGTGATTAGCCAGGCCTGTGCTGCTTGTCATCTTCGCCACAGGGGGACTGGTCTTGTTGCTTCAGCCAGGATTCTGGGGGTGCTGTTGTCTCATGGTAGAATGGACAGCAGCCCTTTAGACCACAGGCCTGTACTGGTACTGTAAACAAGGGGACAGGGTAGAACCATCCTCGCTGCTCTGCTGGTGGACGGAGTTCATATGGGGATCATAAAGCTTGGAGGTGGTGCCCTGCATTCCTCTGTGTCCTGCATGAGTGAACCAGGCCTCAGGTCTAGAAGATTAAGCAGCCCACGCAACCATCGATTCCACCCTGTCCCCTCCGTTGGCCCACGCAGACCTGTGCCATCATTTGTGGCACCCTGGCAGCTTGCAAAGGACCCTGGCTCACATTAGACATCAGAAAGGGCCACTGCTTGCGGGCACCTCTTCCTTGTTGCAGACGGCCGGGCGAGCGGCAGCTTGTGCGCCTGATGTCAATCCGTTTCTTTTGTCTAGCTGTACTGAAGTGTGCTGCTCATTTTACCACAGAGCTACCATGAGGGGAGCTGCCCGTTCATGCTGGTCACCTGCCCGGCATGTCAGGGCACGGTGAGGCTGAATGGAAAGGAGCGCCATTCCGAGCGGGAGTGCCCCGAGAGAAGCCTCAACTGTAAATACTGCAAAGTCCTTTTCTACTTCCCCAGTATTAAGGTATGCATGAGAGCTGCTTTCTAATCCCCCTCCCCTGCAAGCCCAGTGCGCAGGTGACACTGCTCAGGTCTAACCCTCTGAATACGCTGGGGGGCCCGTGGGAATGTGTCTTGCTTGAGGTGTCGTGTGGGGAGCAGCGGTGGGAAGGGGAACTGCCAGTGCCAGGTCAGCCATTGAGTGAGTAGTGGGGATGAGATCCAGGTCCAAATGGCCACTCATCTGCGAAGCTCACCCAGGTGATCTTGAGCTGGTTGTGCTGTCTCATCCTTCCTTATGCCCCAGGGTTGCTGTGAGGATTAAAGAAACGAGAGGAGGGGAGAACAGCATCCCTGACCCTGAGCTCCATGGAGGGAAATCGGGATAAAAATGTGATAGGGCTGGATTCAGTTGTGAGCTTCACAAGCCCTGCAGTGTACTTACGTTCTTCCAGCAGTGGTCTCTCTCTCTCTCTCTCACACCCCCCTTCCCCACTGCAGAAGTGATTGCTCATCACCAGGGGTCAAGAGGTTTTGGCTTGGCTCAGCAATCAGCTCTCATGTACGATTTCTGCCGGCCCTTGTTCCCTCTGAGACCTCTACCCCACACGGAAAGCTGTGCTGTCTGCTCCTCTTGCTGTCCCTGCTCTGGAGTCTCCCTGGGGTGTGTGTGCTTGTGCGATGCTAGCACAGAGTCCTTCTTTGTGCCACGTTGTTGATATCCTCAGTGATACTGTGGGCAAGATACATTTGTGGTGGGAAGGCAGGGGCATTATGTGTTTCCACAGACCATTAACACATGCGGCATGGAAAAGGTGGACAGGTTTTGGTCCTGCCACTATCTAAGGGTCGTGCTTTTTACTTTCCCCATAGGAGTGAATGGGGGCAGTGCTTACCCTTGGGAACCCTGATAGTCTGGGCATCCTCCCTCCCTTCAACTGCATCCCGAAGTACAGCCTGCTTACTTCAGCCAATAAATGCATAGAGCCATCTTCGGTTCTGTGGCTTGGTCATGCTAGAGTGCAATGAAATGTCGGAAGAGTGGTGCCACAGCATGGGAGGCCAGCTTTTATGTTATTTTTGCCCCTTTCCCAAAGTTGGATTTAATTTTATTGTCTTCTGCCAATGTGGTGTGAGAGCCAGCATGGTGTTGTGGTTAAGAGCGGTGGACTCAACTCTGGAGAACCGTGTTTGATTCTCCACTCCTTCACATGAAGCCAGCTGGGGGACCTTGGGTCAGTCACAGTTCTCTCAGGACTCTCTCAGCCCCACCTACCTCACAAGGTAACTGTTGTATGGAGAGGAAAGAAAGGCAATTCTAAGCTGCTTTTAGACTCCTTAAGAAAGAGAAAAGCGGGGTGTAAAACCCAACTGTTCTTCTTTTGCCATTCTGTCAGTGAGGGATGGCTAGCAAAAAAGCACAGAAATGGGTAGTGGCTGGTCAAGCCGTAAAGAACAGGTCAGAGGTACTGCTTTGCCAACCAGAGTTACCACATGGGCCCATACTTGGAGAGGTGGTCCTTTTGGTATGCATACCCCAGATGGTGAAAGGCTTTCAAAGTCAGCACCAACAACTGGTATTAGATCCAGAAAAACTTGGGAACCAGTGAAGAGATTGCAAAATGGGAGTAATACACTCCCAATGGCTACTCCCTAATAGCAAATGGACTGCTCCATTGTATGCTAGCTGAAGTTTCCAGGTCATTTGACCTGTTATCGTAATCGAGCTGCCAGAAATGTAAAGTGGAATCCAGCAGGCAGTGAAAGTTCCTTTGGCTTGATTGGGAACGTTTGAGACTTTGAATGCTACTGCTAATTTATTCCATTCAATCCAAGCACCGCATTTTCTTGTGGTTGTTTGTGGCTGTTCCATTGGTTTATGCACACTTTCCGGGCTGCATCTGTGGCTCTACAGTAGTTACGTATGCTTCAGTATTTTAATCTGCAGGTTTTCTGCCTGCCTACTGCATTTTCAGTGATGAGTCAGGGAGCTACCTGAAAGTGAATAAGGAAGGATGCATTGATTTTTTAAAACCTTTGTTCACGAGAGTGCATTAATAGTGGGATACAAGGAGATGAATCCCAACCAGTAAAATCAGTGACCAGGCACAAAAACATCAAGCTTGTCTTCTCACTTTGTACTTTCCGTTGGAGGAGGACTCTTATGCGACTGGAGAAGCTTGCATCCTATGGCTGTGCAACCCTTGCACTTCGACGGAAGCTTTGATTGATACTAATTGCTTACTAAGTCCTATAATAATAGAAATTATTTTAATGTGTGAGATATGTGTCATCAAGTCACTTCCAACTTATGATGACCCTATGAATTAATGGCCTCCAAAACGTCCCATCATTAACAGCCTGCTCAGGTCTTGCAATCTGAAGGCTGCGGCTTCATTATTGAGTCACTCCATCTCATTGTTGGTTCTTCTTTTCCTACTGTCCCTCCACTTTTCCTAGCATCATTGTCTTGTCTTCTCATGATGTTTTTAAAGTACAATAGTTTCAATTCAGTTGTTTTAGCTTCTAGGGAGAACACAGCCTTGATTCAATCTAGAACCCATTTGTTTGTCTTTTTGGCAGTCCCTGGTACCTGTAAAACCCCAACACTACCTTTCAAATGAAATTATGTTAATACAGAGACTAAGGACTGTCAATAATAAATGCATAGCATCCATAAATATCAATATGAGCACTCATATTGTTGCTATGCATTAATTATTGACAGCTGTTCTTAACATCTGTAGATTATGTTTCAAATATCCAGTATGTTCCATGAACAGTTTTTGAAGAATTCTTACACTGGCTTTGTAAGGCAGGCCACTAATTATTCTTGTATGGCAGATATGGGGGTGGGGGGACAAGTTGCAGTGAGACTAGTAGATTGCTGTGGCTGCTTTGTATGCAAGTCCTTCTCTGAACTAGTGACTTGCATTTCCCTTCCTCCCCTACTGTGCTAGGCAGCTTTTCTTGATTTTCTTGGTGCTTGGCATGGTGGCAGTGGGGAGGCAAGGGGGTATTTGAAATAATCCTTAATATATGGACAAAGGGGGAGGCTTTTCAAGGTCAGGAAGATGGACAGCCTGAGGTATAGAAAGACCTGCTTTTGAAATGGCAGCTTGTGGAGCAGACTCATGCAACATGTGACCCAGCCAAGCCAAACAGGGTCTTCCCAGGGTGGGGGACAACGAGCCTGTTGACTTGCTGTGCTTGCAGAAGCAGGAGTGGTTGAGCATCCGGCAGGCCACCATGTGTGATCGGACTGCACGTCCTGTAGGCCTGATTTTGAAGATAGCTGAGGCAGAGGAGACCCAGCTTGAAGAGGCAGAGGAGACCCAGCTGAGCTCTGCTTTTTCTTCTGCCCAAATGAAGCATCAGAGACGGAGAGATTTCTGAAGAAAATGGGAGATGTCAGGCTCCTGACCTGCTTCAGAAAAAGCTAATTGTGCAAGCCCACCCCCCAGGCTTGTCATTTGTATTTTTCAGTGGTGTGCAAAGCACAGAGTTCCCTGGGGGATATGGTGACCTGGTGGATGTCTTGAGATGGTCGGCAAGGGGATGTGACCTGGTGGTCAGGCATTTGCCTGTGGGAAATTGCTGGTTCAGTCCTTGGCATCTTCCCCAGAGAGCAGCTGCAGGTCCTGTAGGCAATACAGAACAGGTTGAGCCAGTGATCTGAATTGATGCAAGGCAGCCTATGTAGGTGGCAAAACCAGATCCTGGCTGGGCACAAGCATAAAAGAGGCAGTTGCGATGCTTTCTCTATTTTTTTTTGAAGTTTTTTGTCTGTGTTCTGCAAGTGCTGTTCTGGCAGAAAAACAAACTTGCAGCACTGGTGTGAGCAGCTTCTTAGAATCCACCTTGGGGTTTCAGTGTCAGCTGAATCCCCACAAATGAATTCAGAGACTGACTTCCAGTCGGAGTTTCAGAAATATAACCCTAGTAGAATTGTATTCATAAGGGCATGAGAACTGCCCCGCTGATTACAAAGTGAAGGTCAGTCCAGCCATGCTTCTGACAGCAGCTGGACAAATCTAATCACATTTTTATCTCTTGTGCTTTAAGGAGCAAGCAAAGTGAGTGTGAGTACGAAAGCCATCTCCGCTTTGTCCTCCTCCCCTTTTGCAGTACACGGCCTATGAACACGGAGGCTGTGTCTGGAGCTTAAGAGCTCTCAGACCAACGGCCCATCTCGTCTAGTATCTGGTTTGCTCAATCTGATGTCTTTTAGAAGCCCACAAGAATGGCAGGAAGAGAACAGCCTCTCCTTTGCTCCTGCCCACTCAGCACCTGGTGTTCAGACGTATCTTGCCCCGTATGTTCATTCTACTAGCTTGAATGGCTCTCTGTCAAATAGTTTAAGAATATCCTTGCTATGTTCTTTCCTCCCTGAAGGCCCATGATGAGGTGTGCCCAAAGTTTCCTCTCACCTGTGATGGCTGTGGGAAGAAGAAGATCCCAAGAGAAAAGGTGAGTGGTGTTTTCATCCCTTATGTGTTGGGGGTTGTGGTAGCCCCTAGTAATCCAGACCATTCAGAAGCTGAGCAGATTTGCTGCTTGGATGGGAGGCCACAAGGAAAGACTGGGGCTGCTGTGCAGAGGAAGGCAATGGTAAACGGCCTCTGCTCACCTCTTGCCTTGAAAACCACAAGAGGTGGGAACTCCATGGGTAATATGTTGGGGGTTGAAAAGAGTTCTTTGTGAGAGGATCCAGGGGAGTCCATAGGACCCCTGCTTCCTCCTATACATACACCATAGGGCATAGCTGACATTGTGTAGTGGCCCAAGGGTGTACTGTGAGCCAGGAAGACATGGGTTCAGATGTTGCTACCATAGTGAATTCACTAAATAGCTTTAGGCAAGCCACAGGTCTTCCAATGGGTCTCCTTGCAGGTCTCTGAAATACGGGACTGATCATGCAGACACACCTTACAAGGTTGTTGTAGAGATTTCTGCGACAAATGTGTGTGGAGGTCTTTTCAATGTGTTACACATGGGCTTAATATTTATTGTTAGCTTCGTAGTGACAGTGTGCAGCGTTTGCATAAGTTCCCTGCTAAAGCAGTGTAACTCCTCTGCCGGATGGTAGCTCTGCACTTTTTGTAACAAGCAGCATAGATGGGTAACCCAGTCCATGGCATAGATTTCCCTCTGTAAAGATCTCAAGTTGTGGAGAGTGCTTCCTGAAAGCTTTTGATGCCCCAAGTCTGGAAAGGGAGAGTGTTTAATGTGGATCTGTGTTCTGTCTCATGTGGTACAATACATTGGCAAAAGAGAATCAGTTGAGTTGGTGATGTCTTGGATCTCAAATTTTTGTCATAAATTCCCTAGGTGTTGACATGTTAATAATGTAGGAGTATATAGACACACACACACACACACACACACACACACACGCATAGATAGATACATGTATACACACACACACACATATAAGAAGAGCTTGCTAGATGACCTTAGGCAAGCTGTGCTCTCTTTGCATCAGACCTATGTCAGCAATAAGTGGAAAATAATTCTTGCCTACTGTGCGGGGTTTTTGTAAGGATGAAACATGTGCAAAGGCTTTAGAGCTCCGGAAGTATTGTATGAATGTATATATTATGATTTTACTAGCAACTCCCCTTCCTTCCTTTATAGTTTCAAGACCACATCAAATCTTGTAGCAAATGCAAAGCGCCTTGCAGATTCCAGCCTGTTGGTTGCACCGAGGTGGTAAGCATCTGACCTGTTCTAGCTGTGTGTGAACAAAAGGACAGTGATTGGCCCAGGGCTGCATGTCTCAAACGGGGTGTGTATGTGTGCGTGCAGAAGGGAGGGTTGAACACCTCTCCAAAAAGGTTGAAGACTGGAAGGAAGTGCCCTGTAGGCCAGGCCAAAAGCCCATCTTCACCTCCTGGCCAACCAGAGGACCTCTATGAGAGAGCGCCTAAGCAGAGCACAGTTTGCCCTCAGCACATGATACTTGGAGACAGCCTGCCTCTGAACGTGGAGGCTTCATTTAGCTTTCATAATCATTTTTCTCTGTTCCATAATGCTTGCCCTCTGTTAGTTGTCTCCTAAGCAAGCTGCCCCCATGTTCTTACTTCTAAGTGTTGGTTCATTAGGAAGATGATCAATCAGCACCCCTTTAACACCTTGCTCCTTTACCTGTTGTTGCTCTGTGCTGCTTAGTTAAATTAAGTCAAGCTCTTAGCCATCTCTTGGTCTTTCCATCTCTGAGCGAGGAGTGACAAGGTTTGTGTTTGTGTCTTATGCAGATGGAAAATGAGAAGCTCCCCGATCATGAGAGCAAGCGCATGGGGGAGCATCTCTACATGCTGCTGAGTTTTGTGCTGAGTCTTGGGACTGAATCCAGCAAGTTGCAGTCCCTGCCGGGCCTCCCGACGGCTGAGGGCAGTTCCACTCTGTTGGGGGGCAAGCCGCTGGTCTCCGAGTCAGAGATTTCCAGCTCTTTAGAACTGTTAGGGAAATGTGAAGCTCTGGAAAGGAAGACTGTAACCTTTGAGAATATCGTCTGTGTGCTGAACCGGGAGGTGGAAAGGGTGTCTCTCACAGCTGAGGCATACAGCCAGCAGCATCAGCTGGACCAGGAGAAGATAGAGGCGCTCAGCAGCAAGGTCAGTATTTGGTTTCCTGATGCTCTGCTCCATGGTGCCTCTGTGCCGTCTTGCTGCACTTGCTTGGGGCGATTGCAGAATCCATCAGGCATTCTAGGCTCTCTATAAAACACAGAAATGTCACTGAGGTGGGCCTTCTAGGAAGGTATCAGGCAGTCAAGATGGGGATGAAAGCTAGAAGTCGGGGGTTAAAGAGTCAGTGGGGATGACTTATAACTAGGAGTGTTCCGATGCAGCAAAAACCTGTAGAACATGGCAGCATCTGCAAGATTCAGTAATCTGAGCATCTCTACCTTTATTTTTTAAAAAAGAAGAATAAAAGCAATTTTCTAGTCATGATGGTGGGGAGGGGGTAGGCAGCGCCTACTGAAATTCTTGGAGCCTTTGGATTTGCTGAATAAGCTCTCCTGAAGTTTGGGCAGAAGGGCTTCAGTGGCCTGTTAGGGCACCGTGTCTCCTTGGGGATATAAGCAGCAACAGCAGCATAAAGTATGCTTTGTTTGTATAATGTACATAAGGTGGCTGAATAGATTGCAGTTGTGCTGGTTCATGAAACCCTATTTGGGGAAGGGGAGAAGGCAGCTTGGCTGATGATGGCAAGAAGAGTGCTCCAGAGCTGACTTGAGCCTTTCATGGATTTGCTTTTCTTCTTCTGTGACTCAGGTCCGGCAGCTAGAAAGGAGCATTGCGCTAAAGGACTTGGCCCTGGCCGAGATGGCCCGCACTATTCAGGAGATGGAAGCATCCTCCTACGACGGCATCTTTATCTGGAAGATCAGTGACTTTGCAAGGAAACGCCAGGAGGCGATAAATGGCCGCTCGCCAGCCATCTTTTCTCCAGGTTGTTTGGCAGAAACTGCCTCTCTGAATTCCGGGGGTAGGTGGGGCGGGGAGGGGGGTGTTTCTACATATTACTCCATGAGATGTTGGCGATGAGTCAGCCCTCTGACTTGTAGAATGCTGTAGTGGCCAAGAGGCGGAGGCCTAAAACATCTGGTGAAGAAAGAGGGAGCTAGAGAGTATCCCCCTCTAGCTACTGGAAGCCTCTCCTAGGCTGCCTCGTACTGGCTTCCCCCTGAGGACTAGCAGCTCAGTAGTGGGGATTGTTCCAGCCCATCTATATATAGAGGTGTGAATGCCTTGCAGTGCCTTAAAAAATAAATAAAACATTGTGTTTTATAAAACTCTGAAATGCAGTGCTGCGAAGCAACATGGTAATGGGTGTGTGGGTGTGTGTGTGTCCTTTATGTTCTGTTTGTTGGCCCACAGTGGTTGGCCACTGTGTGAAACAGAATGCTGGACTAGATGGACCACTGATCTGATCCAGCAGGGTCATGTTCTTATGATTACATTGTGCCCCCTCCTGTTAACCTTTTGCATAGCTTGTTCTGCTTCTGCCAGACCAGGGGCATGGAATTTCTTACCCACATGAGGCATCATTGGCATGATGCCTTAAGAGACTGTGCAAGCAGCTGGCTACCCCCATAACCACTGTCTGTCAGGGGTAAGGGGAACCCTTGTCCCCCAGTGCAGCCCCTTTCGTTTCTGACCACTGCTTAGGCACGTCTTTTCTGCTGTTTGGACACGAAGTTCCCCTGTCCTGTGGCAGACGGTTGGCTGATACTGTCTGTGCTGACTAGCAGTGGCTCTGCAGGGTTTGGGGTTTTTCACTCCCACCTATTCTCTGATCCTAGGTCCTAGGGCTTCCTGCATGCAAAGCAGAAGACCTGCCGCTGAGCCACAGCTCTTGCCTTTAGCTTTTGTGTCCTCGGAGATGGAGGCCCTGCTTTGTTTGCAGAAAGTCCCCAGTTTCATCCCATGGCATCCTCTCCAGGTAAAGGTTCGTAGGTAGCAGGGGGCTGGGAAAGGACCTTTCCATGCCTGAGACCCCGAAGAGCAGCTTACACACAGTGCTAGGCTAGATGGACTGATGGCTTGATTTCCCATAAGGCACCTTGATAAGTATATAGGCTTTGTATGTACATTAAAGTTTTGAAAGTACAGGGAGGGATACCTGACATAGTGGTTGAGCTCTTTCTTTGTATGCAGGACATTCATGTTCAGTTTCAGACATCTCCAGTTAAAGGGTGTTGGGAGACGCCCTACTCTGCCTGAGACCCTGGAGAGCTACTGAATGGGAAATCCTGAGCTAGCTGGGCCCCGTGGTTTTGACCTCATATACAGCAGCTTCATGAAAGAAGCCAGCAGAGACCGTGTTGGTGGTGCCTCTTGCTCTCTCCCCTCCCCCCCCCGCATTGCCTCTGCTTTCTTGCTGTGCGTGGCTCACTTTGATTTTTTTTTTTTGGAATGTGTTTGTCTTTTCTGCCAGCATTCTATACAAACAAGTACGGCTACAAAATGTGCCTGCGCATTTACCTCAATGGGGATGGCACGGGGCGTGGGACCCACTTGTCGCTGTTCTTTGTGTTGATGAAAGGACCCAACGACGCCCTCTTGCGGTGGCCTTTCAACCAGAAGGTAAGTTTGGGGAAGGGGAAGAACGTGGAGTGCACGCAGCTCTCCGGGTGGCTTCAGGTAGGAAACACACGGAGCACGGGAATTAAGAGAATGAGCTGGGAAACCCCTGGTTTAAATCACATCTTGGGAATTTACTTGCCAGGTGATCTGGTGCAAACAACTTGCCTCACCATCCATTTCCTGCCCCAATATAAAGGACTAGAATCTTGCTTTGTCTGCTTAAGAAAAAGAAGTGCAGTGTGTTGGGACTGGTGAACCTATGTGCTTGGCAGAAAACTCTGTTGATCTTCTTCGTGGTCTCTGTGCATCACACCCTTGGGATATACTGCGCCTGCGCTGACCTTCTCGGTACCGGTAGCTAGCAAAAGGGATTTTCGCGCCTCTCCCAGGTCACGCGCCGGCTCCACTGCGCATGACCAAGGAGGGGCACGCAGATCCCGCCAGTTCTTTTCTGACCGCCGCGCTGGTAGGACGCCTTCTGCTTCGGTCTGTTAAGTACCTAACTTTTTGCTAAACTTGCGTTTAGTTAGTTTCCTTTTCTTTATTTTGTTTTTTGTAGTTAGCATTTTTCTTCGGTGTGTTTGTTCCTTGTCTTTAACGTTTCCCCCTCCGCTGGCCTATGGCCCCGCGGTGGGGTTGTTTCAAACGGTGTAAGACTTGCGGCCTTAAAATATCTCCCACCGACGGGCATTCGCTTTGCCTCGTCTGTTTAGGGGAGTCGCACTGTGTTTCTAAGTGCGGACATTGCCAGAAATTCTCGAACCAGACGAGAAAAAACAGGGCAGCTCGTCTGCACTTGGCTTTGATGGAGAAGGCGCTATCTCCACAGTCGTCTTCGCCGTTGGACACGTCCGGGCACGCCTCGATGTCCACCCTGGCTGCGGACACTTGTCCTCCCGTTTCGGGACCATCGACGTCGACGGTCGCAATCGATGCTTCGGCACCGAAACGATCGACGCCGATAAAAGACCACCCCGTACCTTCCAAGATCCGGAAGCAGGGGATATCTGATGCCGTACCTTCCAAGATCCGGAAGCAGGGCAAAGACTCACAGCAGTCGAAGAAACCTAAAACGGACAAGTCGAAAGTCCATAAGGTTTCAGCTAGTCAAGGTCGAGATCTCACGCAAGAACCTCATCACCTGATTGGTTCAGATCTCGACATCGACCTTACTCAGCAGACAAATCAGTCGCAATCTGATATGTCGAGTCGTCAATCCTCTCATGCTTCCCCGGAACGTGGAGTCGATGATCGACACCGACCGGCATCCCCTACTTTAACCTGGGATGAGAGACAGTGGCATTACTTGTATGGAAGCCGATACCCATACCCATGGGCTTTTCCTCCACCACCTCCACCTGACTGGGATCGTCAATCGGTGTCATCCCGCATCTCGCAGTTTCGGGATCGATCCTCGGTATCGAAGCAGTCCATGCCGATACATCCACCAGACCCGGCTGCACCCCCGGTCAACATGCCGACAACGCATCAACCGGAATTACCCGGATCATCCCCGGAACCATCCAATGTATCCTCCGATTCAGACGACTCCTCTGAACATATAGAGGACGTGAACATACAATCCACCCCACAGGATGTGGAAGCGGATCTGCCTATTTCTCCATCAGAGGATGTTAAGTCATATGGAGACTTTGTTCAACGTATGGCGTTGGACCTGTCTATGACTCCTACTCTCGTTGCCAGTTTCGTGGATGACAATGTTTTTGACATTATGCATTCCAACACTTCGCCTTCTGTGGCTCTTCCAATGACAAAAGTCCTCTTACAAACTACTAAGGACTTTTGGACCCATCCAGCCTCCATTACTGTATCCAATAAACGTCTGGATCACATGTACAAGATCCAAGAATCTGGGGCTGAGTTTCTATACACGCATCCTAAACCCAATTCTTTGGTCGTATCGTCGTCCACGAAAGGAAAATCGAGTCACTCAACGCCATCAGATAAGGAAGGAAAGAAGTTGGACTCGGTGGGCAGAAAATTTTACACTGTCGGTGCAATGGGCATTAAAACGGCAAATTATGCAGCCTGCATGGGCCGCTATCAGTTCAATTTGTGGAAACGCTTAAACGACTTCCTTCCACATGTACCAAAGGAATGTCAGCCTCAGATTAAGAGGCTTCAAAATGAAGGGATGGTACTGGCTAGACATCAAATTAGTGCTGCCAAGCATTCCTTGGAATCTGCTAGCAAGACTCTAGCAACTTCCGTAGCCCTACGCAGACATGCCTGGCTCCGTTCCTCCTCATTGCCATATGATACCAGATCGTCGGTGGAGGACCTTCCTTTTGAAGGCTCTGGACTGTTTAGTTCCACCACTGATACGGTATTACAGGAAATGGATAAGAGTATCAAGACGTCTAAAAGTCTGGGAATCTCTCCCCCAACTAAATACCCTAAGACCAAGCAATGGCCTAGACAATCTTGGTCTTCTAGACAACCGTACAACAAATCGCCTACGGATCAATGGCAAAGACCTCCCTCTTCTCAGTCAAGGTCTTTTCCCCCTAAGAATAAAGGACAATCATCGGGTGCCTATAAGTCGAAGTTTCCCAAGAATCCCAAACAGGGGCTTTGACTTCAGCCTTACTGCTCATACTCGCCTCGCTCCCTTTCTTCACGCATGGCTGGACATTTCTACAGACAAATGGGTTCACTCTATAATAAGAGATGGCTATCTCATAGAGTTTTCTCAAATCCCCACAATTTCCCATTTCGTCGGAACTCCAACGTCACCTGTCCTGATGCAAGAAGTACGATCTCTGTCACTGAAAAACGCTATAGAGATAGTCCCGGCGGCAGATCGTTGCCACGGGATTTATTCCAGATATTTCACGGTCCCCAAGAAGGACGGAGGACTTCGTCCAATTATGGATCTAAGATTTCTCAATCGATTCATTGTTTACAAAAAGTTTCGTATGACCACTTTGCAAAGTATTTTACCACTCCTGCCTCCAGGGACATGGATGGTCACTTTAGATCTCAAAGACGCTTATTTTCACGTCTCCATCCATCCTCGTCACAGAAAATTCCTCAGATTCACGGTCGGAGAGGACCATTATCAATTCAAAGCCCTCCCCTTCGGGCTCTCTACCGCCCCCAGGGTTTTCACGAAGGTAATGGTGGTTGTCGTCGCCCACCTTCGTCTTCAGGGCATTCAGATTTTTCCGTACATAGACGACTGGTTAATGGTGGCAGATTCAAAGGACTGTCTCCTTCAGCACATCACCATTACACTGTCGACCCTATCCTCCCTTGGAATTCTAGTCAATTTGCAGAAATCCATGCTGCAACCTGCAACTCGCGTGCAGTTCATAGGAGCTGTCATAGATTCCCTGGCCACTCGGGCCTACCTTCCTCGCCAACGGGCAGATACCATTCGTCTGGAAATTCGACGTTTGTTCCGATCCAATGTGACATCAGCAGTCCACGTTCAGCGGATCCTGGGTCTCATGGCAGCCACCACCTCTGTGATCGAGTGTGCACGCCTTCGCATGCGTCCGTTGCAGCTTTGGTTTCTAAAGAAATTTCGCCCCTCCTTTCACCCCCCAAGTCTTCGACTAGTCGTGCCTCCTCAGGTCCTTACCTCCCTGCAGTGGTGGCTCGTGGACACCAATTTGCTGGCGGGTGCACCGTTCCAACCGATTGTTCCCGTGATGTCGATCACCACAGACGCCTCCCTGTGGGGTTGGGGTGCTCATACGGACGACACTTGTGTGGGTGCTCCATGGCAGCCCCTTTGGAAACGTCATCACATCAACTATCTGGAACTGCTGGCCGTAAAATTTGCCCTCAGATCCTTGCACAAACAGGTTGCAGGGAAAGCTGTGTTAATATTTACGGACAATACAACTGCAATGGCTTATATCAATCGCCAGGGCGGGACAGTGTCCAGATCCCTTTGCAGGCTAGCTATGGACATATGGGAAGAGTGCCTTCATCGGAATATCACTCTCCAAGCTGCCCATCTGCCAGGAACTTTGAACCAGCAAGCAGATTTCCTGAGCAGAGGAGGAGCATCGGACCACGATTGGGAGCTGAATTCAAAGTATCTCCTCCCTCTTTTTCAACGTCTGGGACATCCCCACATCGATGTTTTTGCAACTCGATTCAACAAGAAGTGTCCCATGTTTTGTTCCAGAGCGGGGTTGGACCCTCTGTCACTGGGGGACGGCCTGTTGATATCGTGGGCTCACAACTTTCTGTACCTATTTCCTCCGATTCCGCTGCTTCACAGGGTGTTGGTGAAAATACAACACGACAAGCCCCATTGTCTTCTAGTAGCCCCCTGGTGGCCTCGGCAAGTTTGGTTCCCGACACTGTTGAGGTTAGCCAAGGGATCCTTTGTACACCTGCCGCAGGAGTTGGATCTCCTCCAGGCTCAGGAGGGCCAGGTCCTTCACTACGATCCTCTGAGTCTCAAGCTGACTCTGTGGGAAATACGCTTTCAGTGATGGACGCTCGTATCAATGATGTCTTGTTGAACTGTCGTAAACTGTCTACTCGGACTTCCTACACAAGGAAGTGGAATCTATTCCTGCAGTATTTGAATTCCTCAAATCTACCTCCTCCGCCAGTGGATTTGAGGTCTATTTTTGCATTTATTTTGTCCAGAATGGACTTGGGTCTCAGTTTTTCGTCGGTTAAAGTGTATTTAGCTGCGGTGTCAGCTTTTCATCCATCTGTTGATGGGTTTTCAGTTTTCTCGCATCCTCAGACAAAACAGTTTTGTAAAGGCCTTATTCGCCTGTACCCTCCCCGTCGTCCTCCAACCCCGGCCTGGGATTTGGCTTTAGTTTTGCGTTTTTTGATGGGAAAACCTTTCGAGCCATTGGCCACTTGCTCTCTAAAATTGCTGTCACTCAAGACTGCGTTTTTGGTGGCCATTACCTCTGCTCGTCGGGTCAGCGAATTGTCTGCTCTGAGGTGTGATCCACCATACTTAAGTTTTTCCCCACATGGGGTTTCATTGTCTTTGGACATCTCCTTTTTACCGAAAGTTGTTTCGGAATTTCATTTACGTTCAGATGTAGTTCTGCCATCATTTTTCCCGTCTCCTGCTAATGAAGAGGAACGGAAATTGCATTCTCTGGATGTTAAGAGAGCGTTGTTGTTCTATTTGGGCAGGACTAAGTCTTTTCGCCAGTCTCCAGCTTTGTTTGTTGCTCACAGTATGCCCTCCCAAGGGAAGAAGATCTCTTCCCAGAGGCTGTCGAGATGGATTGTGGAGGTGATCAAGCTATGCTACGCTTTGGCTAAGAAACCTCTTCCAGGTCAGCTTCGCGCCCATTCTACGAGGGCGGTAGCAACTTCCACAGCTTTCCTGCGAGGTATGCCGTTGGAGGACATCTGCAACGCTGCGACTTGGGCTACTCCGCTCACCTTCGTGAAGCATTATGCCCTTGATGTCCGGTCTTCTCGTCGTGTGGCGTTGGGTCGGTCTATATTGCAGACGGCGCAGATGTAGGGCCTCGGCCCCTCCTCCAGGTAAGAGTTATTGCTTGCTATTCTCCCAAGGGTGTGATGCACAGAGACCACGAAGAAGATAGACAGGTTGCTTACCTGTAACTGGTGATCTTCGAGTGGTCATCTGTGCATTCACACCACCCGCCCTCCTTCCCCTCTGCTCTCGGCCCTTCATCTTGTTTCTTTGAAGGCTGTTGGGCGGCGGTCAGAAGGAACTGGCGGGATCTGCGTGCCCCTCCTTGGTCATGCGCAGTGGAGCCAGCGCGTGACCTGGGAGAGGCGCGAAAATCCCTTTTGCTAGCTACCGGTACCGAGAAGGTCAGCGCAGGCGCAGTATATCCCAAGGGTGTGAATGCACAGATGACCACTCGAAGATCACCAGTTACAGGTAAGCAACCTGTCTTTACACGGCTGCTTAGAGTAGCCCTGGCCATTAGGATAATCCATCTTGCCATGAATTGGAATTCCATATTTATTCCTCACCCCAGTTCCTTCAAGCAATTTCTGCGCCTCCCTGCAGGTCACCCTGATGCTGTTGGATCAGAATATCCGGGAGCATGTGATTGACGCCTTCCGCCCAGATGTGTCGTCCTCATCTTTCCAGCGGCCCGTCAGTGACATGAACATTGCCAGTGGCTGCCCGCTCTTCTGCCCCCTCACCAAGATGGAGGCCAAGAACTCTTACGTCCGTGATGACACCATCTTTATTAAAGCCATTGTAGACCTTACGGGCCTCTGATGCCTCCTTTTCCCACCTGGATCTAGGAGTATAGAGCTGTTGCCCGGGCGGGGCTACAGTCCTCTGTGTAATCCTCCTCCGTGGGCAGCTGTGAGGAGGGGGCTAGGTGCTACCCCCTGGAAAAAGGACCTATTCCATTTGGTGAGGAAAGCAGATGTTCCACTGGAAACTTTTGGTCTTGGAAATGCCAGCCATGCTCTTGAAGGGGCAGTGCCTTCCAACCCATCCTCAATGAGGGATCCAAACACAGAAAAGCTCTCGTGTCTTTTTTTGAATGAACCTTGCAGTTTGCTGATCTTGGGGAGGCTGGAGAGGGACGGGTGCCGTTGAGTCCCATGTGACGACCTGGAGCATCTGCCAGAAGCATGCTCATGGGGGGGGGGGTTTGGACTGAGCCATATAGGCTGGCTGTATGCCAGCAGACTGTGTCGCACTTATGGGAGAGGATGCTTCAGAAGCACATGGAGGGAACAGGAAGGTGTCCCCTGCAAGAGTCCTGCGGTGGCTGATGAAGGAGGACTTCTCAGCCAGCTGCGGGGAAATAGTGGACCTTAGAAATGATTGTTGGAGTGGATCCTGACTGCTGGTGGCTCTCCAGGTTGGGGAGGGGATAGGAAGCGTGTATTTTCCAGTGCTGCATCTGTGCTCGACCAGCAGGGTGCCTTTGGATGGCCAGCTGCCAAAATAAGATGCTGAGGGTGAGCAGAAAGCGAAGATTTGGCTTGTTAAATGCATAATCCTGCTCTGCAATGAAGTTCTAGGTTCCGTCCTAACAGAATAAAATCAGGTCAGGCTCTCCCCCCCCCCCCCCAATTTATTAAAGAAGAAGATAACGTCCACCCTGTTACCTGCTTGATATTTCAGAGGTTAAGGCCAGGCTGAAGAGATGGGCTGTGCGGTGCAGGAGAACTACAGGGGCGTGCATGTCTTTAGGGGTTTGCTGTTAGGCCAGCCGCTTGCTGTATATGGGTTACTTAGAAACATTTGGCAGAGGTACACAAGAAGAGAGTTGGTTTGTATGTGGAGGGCAGTGTATGTGAACTCTTGTCTGTTTTCTTTTCCTGGCCAAGCTGCCGGGCAAGGCAAATCAAATAAATGAATAGCTCAGGGTTGCGAGGTCATCAACCTGTACTGAGGAGCTGCGTGGAGCTCTGACGTCTTCAGAGGTCCTACTTGCCTCCCTCTTCTTGGGCTTCTCCTCTTTGCCCATACGATTTCAAGCTGACTTGGCTCCTCCAAATGCAGTTTGCTAAGCAGCCTTTCATTCCCCCCCTCCTCAGTTGCTTTCAGACTGGCAGAAGAGGTGGTCTCTTAATTTCCCTGTCTGATCCAAATGATTACTGTGTTGTGGATACGCGGGGCCCGGGGGGCATTTCCAACTGACATGTGCTTCTAGTGTGCAACTAGGGCCAGACCCTTTCCCATTCTCTTCTCCCCTTCCTCAGGCCCCAGTTCATACCTCTTTGGGATCTGAGTAGCACTGAAGCAGTTCTGCGCTCTATATCCCTTCGAAATGCACAAATATGAGCTGTCTCCTGGCTGATGCTACCAAAGGCAGTGGATTGCCACGCTCCATTTGGGTTTAGCGGGAAGGAGGTAGGGAAGCTAGTGGGGGGTGGGGTTTGTGGGGATCTCTCTCAGTTCTAAACCAGCAGCAGGTTCTCTTGGGCCAGTTGTTTCCCAAATGCATATGCAGAGAAAGACCTTTTATTCTGCAATTAAAATTTGGGGGTAAGTGTCACTATTGTACCTCTGTAGAGGAGGTGTGAGACCTGTGGACTGTCTGCTTTTGACTGAAGCCCTGTGACTGCTCTGAGTGTCACCTAAAACTCGGGTTGTCCTGCTGTGTCTCTGCTTCAGAAATGATTTGACAGAAATGAGCTGCATCTGGTCTGTTTAAAGGATGTCAGATAACAGGTGTCGGGGGAAGACCTTGCTTTCTGTCCTGCTGCTGCCAGAGTAGGCAGTACTAAGCCAGATGGGCTGATGGTCTAAGACACGTGCTTGGTGGTCAGATACAAAAGAGGGTTTAGGGTACTCTTTCTTTCATACTCAACACACTGGAGATCCTAGGGACCTACTGCCATTCAGAGTCCGAGGCTAGATGGACTAACAGTCTGACTTGGGATGGCAGCTGCTTACGTGTATGTTTGCTTTGCTTGCACACACAAGGTCCCAGATTCTGTATTAGACATCTCTAGTTAAAGGATCTCATGAAGCAGGTGATATCCCAGAACACTGCTGCCACTCAGAGTACATGCTGTGAGGCTAGATGGGGCAGCTGCCTGTACAAGCCGGTTTCCAAGCGTGAGCAGGAGCTCTGCTTTTGCGCCAGAGCTGGCTATCAAATCTGAGTCATAGGAAAGCTCCTTTTATTGGGAAGCCATCTAGTGAAGGCATGATTCCCTTCAGCACCTGCTTTGTGGAAAGGCAGTTTCTGGAGACGATCTAATCTTGGCCAGTCCCTACTTATGAACGAAGACATACAGACTTGTTCTCAAGACTGTGTGTGCTGTTTCTTTTTAAAGGAAAGTCAAAACTATATTTTGCAAACTTACACAAACTCACATAATATTTAATATTTATTCTGGTAGACCTAGAGAAGGACAAGTAGTTCTTGGATAAGGCCGTACCCCTTTGATCACTGGCATTCTTAGCACCCGTGGAGGTCCTGAGATTCACCAACAAAAACACGCACTTCAAAGCTTATTTCTGCAACCATAAAGGGCTACAAGTTCGCTTGTGTTTTCAGAATGATGGCTGAGATCCTTAGAAGGCCAAGATCCTAAAGCTGGTACTAAATCGGTGGTATGTTTTCCTGTGGTTGTGTGGAAATAAGCATAGCCCTGCTCTGTAAATAGATATGTAAAAACTGACCACAGAAGGACATATTTGGGAGAATGCTCAAGCAGGGTGACGACAACACGGGAAAAGCACTGTGATGATGGCAGCATTCTCCCGACAGCAGTTTATTATAAACCGGTCTTCCGTTAGGGTGAGTTAACCAACTTGTTAGTTATAATAGTTATGTTTGGAGGCAGTGTATCTTTGAGTAACAGTGGCTGGGAGGGGGGAATAATGGTGCTTTGGTGGACTGCCCAGAAATATCTGACTGGCCACTATGGGAAACTGAATGCTGAGCGAGGTGTGAAGGCTGGCCTGCTGTAACTGGGTGCTGACACTTTAGTGCTGCTTGCCCCTGCCCTCCCCTGAGAGGAAGGAGAGGCTGACTGCAAAGCAGAGAATGGTGGAAGCGTCCGGTGGCTCCACTTGGCCATTCAGGCCTCAGGTTGGCTTGAGGAAGGGGTGGGGTGTCAGCCACTGCCTGGAAAGTGGATTTTGGTTGTAATTCTGAAAATGCTGTTTTGCCGAAGAAGTTGAAGTGGCTTAATAAAAGCTGTGACCAAAACCCTGTTTCATTTGTATATGAGAAAGGGGACTTGGCTTTGTTTGGGTAGAGAAGCCACTTCCATTACATTGAATCTGATCATTTCTGGGAGGCCAGCCTATTTGGGGTCCGGAGGCTTAGAAGGGAGCGCCTTTCACTTTGTGCCTGGCGACCAGCAGAGGAGCCCCTGCTCTGTGTGGTTTTTTTCTGTCGGGAGGCATGGACGGGGGAAATTCGAGGGCCCGCTGTGGAGATCCCCAAACCTTGAACGCCCATCCTAGGCAGGCTCATTTGTCTGATTCTCTTCTGAAATGTGGATGGCTTTTGGAGGCCTCTGGAATTCTCAAGAGGCAAAGGAGCTGGTTTTAATTTACCACTGCTTAGTCCCACATGATGCAGGCTGCAAGTCCCAATACTGGGAAAAGCTCCCCTTCCATTGTTAAATCTCGAGGCATTACTGGTACACTGGCGGGGGGGGGGGCTGGGCAGAGAGGACCCCTGCCTCCCTTTGTGCTTACATGCATGTCAAAATAACTAAACACGTGACTTTCAGCAGGTAGCCACAGCTCTGTCTCTCTCAACAGTTGCTGCCTGTCAGATCTCAGGTCTTGGTCACCATCACCGAAGTCATCTCTCGTAAGAGATGCCTAATGTAATGAACTGGCAGCCTGGGCCAGCAAAGCCTGGCTTGCCACCTTCTCTCCCCCCCCATCAAGTTCACATTTGTTGCACAAAGCAGCCCCTGCTAGAGAGGTCTCACTGCAAGACAGACGTAGCTCTGGAAGTGGTGCTTAAGGAAGTTTATTGAATCCATGCTGTGCGGCTGATGTGATGTAGTTCAGAAGCATCCTCATCCCTCAGCCAGTTTGGCACCTTGGGTTTGGTGCAGTGCTGTTAAGGGGACAGACTGACGTTCCAGGCCTTAGGACCAGGTTCCCAGGTCAAGCCAGGAGGCTCAGCCCTTTGTGGAAGCCAAGCTGTTTAACTTCCAACTCTCCTTAACGAGGAACCCCACGGTCCAGACCACTGTTCCCTCTAAGCTGAGTTACTGTGAGCTAGCTCACAGTTTTTTAGCCTCCAGCTCACACACTATTGTCTTAGCTCAGGAAGGATGGCTCCAGAGCAAGCTAATTTATGCAGTAGCCAAATTGCTTGCTCATAACTTTAATGCCAGTAGCTCACAAAGTAGAATTTTTGCTCACAAGACTCCACAGCTTAGAGGGAACATTGGTCCAGACCAGTCTAAATGGCTGAGCAGCTGCACCATGTGACCAGGTGATCTCACCTTCACCCCCTGAACCCACACCTGCCTCAATGGTTACTTTCCTCTTCCCCCTCTGCAGGGATCATGGAGAAAACTCTTGCCCTGAGTTATTTACAGAGGGGGGTGGGAAGCCTGGCTGGGCTGAAGGTCTGAAGCCCTCCTCGAATCCTCTTGCTCAGCTCCTTCCTGGCAGTCTTTAAGTGCTGGGGTTTCCTTTTAGACTCCTGTCGGTCAAAACTGCCAGGGGGGCTCCTTCCTTTCTTCCAAATATGTAGCTTGTGAAAGAGTGCCTATAAATGGAGCAGGATGCCAGCTGGAACATCAATAGCAAAGCATAGCTTCCGCTGTTCCCAGGGGACAGAGGCAGCGAGTGAAACTCAATCCGGCAGAACAGCTGCAGCCAGGCTTAGCCTAGACTGTGCATCCATAGGGCTGAGGTATTCTCACTCTCGCCCTGGTTCTTTGTGACTTCAGCTAGGAGAAATTCAGTAGGGACAACCTTCCTCCCCTGGATTTCCGCTTCTCACAGAGCTGTCAACAGTACAGAATCCCCGACCCAAAGAGCTGGTAGCCCCAAGAATCCTCAATAGCACCCATGTGGCATTCTAGCCTGGAGGATGAAGTTGGCTACTGTTCCTTGCAGACAGAAAGTTTTACATGTGTTTTTATGTGAACACACCTAGATAATTAACAAGCCATTGAAACTCCATTAAAAAGGAAAGGGGTGTGTGTGTAAAGTCTGCTTTGGACAGTTATCCCTATTCCTCCGATGCGGCCAGGTCTTGCTGACTGTGGCAGTGGACAGGAAAGCCAAGCCAAGGGGAAGGACCGCAGTCACTCACCCCAGGCATCAGAGATGGCCTCACAGGCCAAGGTGAACCAGTCAAAGAGGATCCCTGGCAGACCAGGCTGGCTCAGCTTCTCTGGTTTGTGGCCCAGGAGAAGAGTGGCTTGCGGAGTCTGGGTTTCTCAGCGTGCAGGATCCTCACGGTACGGGGGGAGCGCCACACCTTAATGGTGCAGTCATCACTAGCTGTCAGGAGGAGTTCTTGTTCCACAGGGCTGAAGGCCACTGAATTGACCACGTCGTCATGCTGCAGTTTGGCCAAGCAGATGTTGTAGTGCCGATCCCAGATGTAGCCGTGACGATCTTCAGCACCACTGTGGGGGAATACAAGAGGCAGATTTGTTGAACACCTGGGAAAAGGATGCCTCTCCCTTCCCTGAAGGGGCACTGGGCTGCTAGTGAACTCTTTCAGTGACTAGTACCACGTTTGGGAGCTGCGGTGTGGGCCTTTTGCTACTGGTATTCAGGCAAGGGCATTTTTCTTCCCAGTTCCTGAATTCTAGCTACTGGAATCAGTTCCACAAATCTGGGTTTACAATTTGTCTTCATACACCCAGTGCAGTTCCTTAGTTTATTTTAGATAGAGAAATAGTGGAGGCAACAATAGGCCTTGTGCACAAATGCAAAGGGAAGAGGCTGCAGCAAAACACTGGAGGTCAAGAGTGTCTGACTAAGTACTTGTACTAAATTAATGAATAAATGAATCTGGGACCTTAAAATTTTGCTAATCCCAGATTGCAAGAAGCCACTATCCTTCCCCATTTAATGAATAACAAAACAAAGCTTTCTAGTCGTTTGAACTTGGGGATTCTTGTCCTCCATATCTTGTAATCATGAAGGCCAGAAACCCTTTTCTTAAGGTTTCCAAATATGTCCCTATTCTGCCCTGCCGATTTACCCACCTACCTGACACAAACTTCTACTCTCTATAAAAAAGGGGAGGAATTGCAGCCTGCACAGCTATTTCAGACACGGTGGGCACTCCCAGATCACTCCTTCCGACTTCCAAGCCATGCCTCATAGTTTTACACAAGTACAAAAGACTCTCAAACAGCAGAGGCCAGAGCAGTCTGTCTTTGACACAGACTATATTAGGAGTAAGCGTATTGAAATGCACTGTATAAAATCAGCAGATAAGAAGAAGAGATTAGATTTATACCCCGCCCTTCACTACCCGAAGGAGTCTCAGAGCAGCTTTCAATCTCCTTTCCCCTTCCCTCCCCACAACAGACACCCTGTGTGGCAGGTAGGGCTGAGAGCTTTCTCGGGAACTGCTCGTGATAGAACAGCTCAGAGAGAACTTGTAACTGACCCAAGGTCACAACAGCAGTTGCATGTGGAAGAGTGAGGAATCAAACCCAGTTCTCCCAGCTTAGAGTCCGCGCTCCTAACCACTACACCAAACTGGCTGACCTGCTACTGCTAATCTCAGTTATCAATAATACCTATGGAACAGCAAGCAGCTGAAACTAAATGGCAGGCAACAGCATGGCTCAAGTATATCACAGTATATTCTCGTCTTACGGCTTACCTGGCCACAAAATCTCTGCTGACATCCAGGAAAATAAAGAAGAAGTCATCGCTGGGTGTGTAGGCCCGATGAGCCCGCAGTGCTCGCTTCACTTCCTTCATCGTTTTGAGGTCCAGGACGTGGAGGTCGATTTCCTCGGCGATGGGGGGTGGCTGCAAAGGGTCAGAAATGACACAGTCCTGGGGCCAAGCTCGGCTGTTCACGTACAAGTACCTGGAGAGGAGAGGAAGAGTGTCACTGCTTCACTTGCTGTTCTTGGGACTTCCAGAATTTGCCACCCAGGACCATCAAGTGGCTGCACACAGAAGGAACAGGCTGCACCAGGACTGATCAGGGCCCGGAGCCATGACTGCTGCAGACGGCAACTTGAGAGCCAGGGAAAAGTCTACAGTGGTCAACAACTGAGCAAGTTTCTACAGAGCCAGGTCATTTCCTGGGGCGACTTTAAGCAGTTTTGGTTTCCCACCTAGAAGGTATGTGCCCACATCCCTTTCTCCCATTGAGCAGGGAGCTGTCTCAGAGCTGTGGTAAGAGAGGAGTGATGTCTGCATTAAGCCACACTGCCTTTTACTCAGCCACCCCTACCTAAGATATCTTCCTTGAATGCCTGCCCCTCCTCCCAAACTTGCCACCCCCACCCCCAATTTGTTAACAGCTTTAGGTACCCAGGGGCAAAGAACCAGATGGGCGGCTGTGTTCCCAACCAAATGACAGCAGAAGTCCTCCAGTTCGGCACCCCTGAAGGCCACAGCTCTCCTCAACAGCTGGAAATCCAAGGTAGACTTCCTTTGAGCACGGAGGTTCTATTTAGTCATTCTCATGGCTATTGCCAGTCTCTGTGAATTTATCTAGCCTACTTTTAAAGCCATGTCATGAAAGTGAATCCCACAAGTTAATTCAGGCACCCTTCGAGGCAGCGTCTTCCATTTGTCTAACCTGACATTTGTTGCCCTTCACTGGCTATTGCCACCTTGTAAGGAGGAACGTTTCCCCAGCTGTGCTACGTAAGGTCCTCTGAACCTTCTCCATGCCAAGTGTGCATTCTTCTGCTGAGCTACAACTCCTCCCTGTTAGTGTGTGGCAAATGGCTGGCATTGCCCCCTACCTGTGGTCAGGGGAGAGGCCCATGCCAATAATATGTCCGTGGATATCGATGACATGGTCAAGTGAATCGAAGAACTTATCAGAATCTCTTTCTTCTCCAAGGACCGGACCTGCTGTCGTCATTTGGTGAGGCAGGATCTGCTTAATCCCTGGGGGAGAAATAATGGAGCGGGTGAGGGGAAAAAGAAGCCATCAGCCAGGCTACGCTCTGGGTTAGGCAACCCTTGTTCCATGCTGAATGCACACTGGAACGCTGATCAAACAAAGGGCCCATCTTGCCCAGCACTCTCCTTTCAACAGCAGCCAGCCAGGTGCCTCTGGATATGAAGGTAACAGTCCTACTGTTTCTGGTCTCAAGCACCTGGTATCCAGAGGTATACTGCCTCTGACTATGGAGGTTCCGTTTAGTTATCCAAGCTCTGAGATCATCCCATCCTTTGAAGAAGCCAGGTAAACCTTACATGCACAATTCCTTGCAAAGGGCCCTTACCAATCTGGTGTGGTGAATAGGTGAGGCATCCAGTGGTGAAGATCAAGTATTTCTTCTGGCTGCAGCCCTCCATGGAGAGCAGGTTTGGCTCAGGAGGCTTTGTCCGTCTTTTCGCCAGCAGCTGGGCCACCTTTGTCTCCATCTCCATCTCCGTCATGACTGGCCGGACGCGCCCTTCAATGATGTCTGTTAGGAAGCGGCCCAGCCCATCTCCAGCCTCTGCTTCGCTCTTGTCCCCTGGGGAGTCCTCTGCAGATGGCTCTGGCACTGTGTGGTGTTTGGCCTCCTCCTCCTCCTCGCTATCGCTGCAGAGATCAGTAGCCTGGTTGGCGGCTGTGGCAGGGCTGGACACCGACTGCTCTCCTTGGTTTGGCATAAGGTCAGGGGAATCATAACGGCTGCAGTCCACCACCATCACGGTCCGGATGGTGCTGGCGTTCAGGTTCTGGAGTTTGAAAAGCCTCTTCACCACATTCATGTTTTCAGATTCTACCCCCTGCAAATGTAAGAGAGGATGGAGGGTTAGGAGGAGAGGCGCCTGTTACCCTCTCCCCGTGGCTGATGCAGCCACCTGTGGTCACCTGGGCCCTTACCTGGAAGGCGTTGTTCAACCACAACACAGAGCATGAGGTGAGGTAGCCGATGCGGTGCAAATTGCCAGAAATCAGGTTGGTTTCATTCAGCCAGCAGCCAAAGACATCATAGGGCTTGTTGCGCACCCGGGACAAGAGAGTGAAATTTTCTGGAGAAGAGAAGGACAGCTTCAAAATTACCCATGCGTGCCCATCCCAGGTTAAGAGACTGTCTGCTGGCTCATTAGTCAAGCAGCTGCTTTCTGTGCAAAAGGTCCCCAGTTCAATCCTTGACATCTGCATTTAGAAGAGGCTAGGCAGACAGATTTTGGGGAAACCCTTCTCTGCCTGAGAGCCTGAACAGCCAGTCAGAGGAGATGATACTGAACTAGATAGACCCATAGCCTGATGGGGGTAAAAGGCAGCTTGCTATGATGTGAATGCTGCCCCGCACCCATTTTATAGTGACTGCTTATCCTGCAGAGAGTCTCAGGTTCAGTCCTTGGCATCTCCCATTAATGGATCTCAGAAGCAACTGTTGGGAAAAGACACAGTAGAAAATACTGGACTAGATGGACAGATGGTCTGTCTCCGTCTAAGGTGGCTTCTCGTGTTCATACAGTCAACCTTAAAGGGGAACTCAGTCTCTGGTGTAGCCTGGCAGGGAGGAGACTGAGAATCGAAGGTACCCGTATAAACCCGCCCATTAGCTAAGATAATCTAAGGAGGCCTTGCTTTAAGTAAAGGTAAAGTGAGTGGCAATTGGAGACCACAGAACCATTGAGCAGGGCAACAGGTAAAGTTCAGGACTGGGCAGAGTGAAGAGCCTGTTAAACTTGCAAGAGCAAAAATGTTTTTAATTGTACTATTTATTGCTGAGCTGATTCACTGCTCCATAGAAAGGTCAATAACAGAGTTGAGGGAAAAAACATAGGCTGGCGCCTGGTACTGACATTTGTGCAGAACATTTTTGCCCTGCGAGTCTCCATGAGAGACTCCACCTTAGAAGCATGATGATGTCTCTACAGCCGGGGGAATCTTCCTACCTGGGGCTGTATTAGAAGTAGCAGCCCCAAACAGACTGGATGCCTCTGCCCCTCCCACTACCTGCCCACTTTCCCAGTTTTTACCTAAGCTGATGACTGCAATCTCGCCTGAGGAGGAAGTGCGGGGCCCCATGAAGACCCCAGACACCAGGAGGAGGGAATCGTCAGCGTTGAACTGCGAGAACTGAGTGTAGCTCCAGTTGAACTTCTTCATGTTGGAGCTATGCAAAAGGGAGAACTCGAGGTCATTGTTCCAGATCTGTGGAGGGGGAGGAAAAGACCATCATCAGCTCCTTACTTCAGTGTCCCCCCCTCCCCATATGTAACAAGGTAAGAATAGAAGACTCGGGGGACGGGAGATTTCAGAAGCCAAAGACCAGGGCTTGGCACATGCTGGGATCCTACAGGACTGCAGACGAGCCATGCAATGGGGCTGCAAAAATTCAGCTCTCCATTGCCCTCTTTAAAGAAGCAAGTTATCAGCCCTTGTGGTTGTGAAGATAAGCATGTGGGCAACACCTGGTGGTATCTCAGAAGGATGGCCAAACTAACATTTAAGCTTCAGGTCCACACCTATTCTTAAGAGCAGCAGAAACTAAATCTACCAGTAAAATCAGAATGGGCTATGTGAAATCAGAGAATTCATGCCAATTGCCAGAACTTGTACAGTTCACGGCGTGTATGCTTGTTTGTGTGCATGCACAAGATAGTGTGTGTGTGTAGGTTTACTGGGTGCAGAACTTTGAAAAGCAGAAGATACATAGTCCTGCTGCTGCCTAAGAGGAATATCATTGCAGGGGAAGTGGCTCCAGCGAAGAGCACCTGGCTTGCATACAGAGGGTCCCCAGTTTGATCCCCGGCATTTCCAGTTAAAGGCTCCTGGGTGAAAGGTGTTGGGAAAGAGCTCTCAGCCAAGCCAGTGCAAGGAGACCAGACTGAGCGAGATGGTCTGATAAGCATGTTCAATACTACATTTACTATTAACAGAGAAGATCTTGAGTGTAAGAAGAGCCCCCTATACACAAAAGGCTTTTCATTATTCTGTATAACTAACCTGTAAGACAGCCCCCTCTTTTCTCGATTGCACATGTGGAAAACTTAGTTTTCCTTTCCGGCAAATAGGGGTCTGCATAACCAAGAAATTATTCTCTCTCTCTTTTCTGACCAGCTGGTGATCTAAGAATCCCATCACTCTTAACGCTCTCTGTATATTATCGGCACGTGCAGTACTAAGAAAACAACACAGGCTTTCCGGCTTAGAGAGAGGGGGAGAGACGTATTTTGTTTGGGTGATTACAAGTCCCATTCCTCACCTTGATGGTACAGTCCTTGGAGCAGGAGGCAAACATGTAGCCGTTGTGGGAGAAGCTGAGGTGGAGGACTTGATCACTGTGCTCCTTCAGGGTCTGCACTTCAATGCAGGGGATGGTGTCGTACAGTCTCTGGAACTCGCCATACCAAGAAACAGCAGCTGTGACATGAGAAGACCAGTAAGTAAAGCCACCGCTCACAGGCTTCAAGGACACGCAAGCAGACTTCCTTTTTTAAAAAGCAGATTCTTCCCTGCAAGACCTGTAATTTCCCACCACCATTAGCTGAAGGGCCCCCCCCCCCAACATCCTTTTACTGACTGTCTAGGACTCTGGTAAAGAAACCCCTTTCTTATTTCAGAAACAAAACAGATTTCTTTACAGAGGGTCTTCTAAAAATAATTATAACCTCTTCTTCTACTAGCTTCTAAAGCTACTATCAACTTAAAGAAAACCATGAAAATCCAGTATTAAACAAGACTGAGGGATATCAAGAATCCTAAATCACAACTGAGAATTCTATCCAATAGACATCAAATCTCTCACAGGAAGGAAAAACAACAAATCTGTTGAGGCGGGAATCAAAGGCCCAAAAGTCCAATTCTTATCCTCTGTTGGAATACAGTGAAGACTATGTGGATTTCCCCTGGGAGGGCACCATGTAATGGTGCCATGGTGCCACCACAACAAGGCTCTGTCATACATCCTGACTCTGTTGGCCAAGGGACATCCTGCCAGGGCCCTTGATGTTGATGTGAGAGGTGAGGTAGGTAAATATGGCAGGAGATCATTCTTGTAATAATCTGATCCCAAACCGTTTAGAGCTTCAAAGGACAAAAAGTGGATTGAGAAACAAACAGGCAACCTGATAGAACTGGAATGATATTGGAGCATTCTGCTCCATTTGGCAAGCTGTGGTTAGTAAGTCTGAGCAGCTGGATCCACAGAAAGCAAGACACAATCTGGATGTGACCAGGGTATGAATGACTACAGCCAGGTCAATCTTTTCCAGGAAAGGATGCAGGTGGCACATTGTCCTACACTAGTGAAATGTGTTCCTGCTCCCTCTGCTACAACTGGAATATTTAGATATCGCAAAGAATCCAGAAACACCTCCACACTGTGGACACATTCCCTAAAGGGGAGAGCAATTCCATTCAAAACTAAGTTAGAATCATAGAATCATAGAGTTGGAAGGTACCTCCAGGGTCATATAGTCCAACCCCCCTGCACAATGCAGGAAATTCACAAATACCTCCCCCTCCACACCCACAGTAACGACTGTTCCATGCCCAGAAGATGACCAAAAATCTCCAGGATCTCTAGCCAAACTGGCCTGGAGAAAAACTGCTTCCCGACCCAAAGTGGCAATCAGCATTTCCCTGGGCGTGTAAGAAAGGGCCACAAGAACTAAGCACTGAGGTAACCCTTCATGCCTAAATCCTCATGATCTGCCTAATTTGTGTGGCTAGTCTCAGATCAGCTGAAGCATCATCCACAATTACCTCCAACCTTAAAATCATGTTCGCGCCATATGCATGACAGAGAACGAATTGTCCCTATGGCACCCATATACCACAGCATGGATAATGTGCTGAAAAGTCCAGAAGAATCCTCAGGATTGTGCTCTCCTCATCTGTCTCCTGATATAGGTCACACGCAAGGGCAACCAAGACTTCCCCCTCCCAGACAGCCAGGAGTGGGATTGAAACAGAACTGAATAATTAGCCTTCCTCAGTGCTGCATCTCTTGGGAACCCAAGCTGGATGCTCTGCACAGAAGCACCAGATTCCAAGACAGTTTGCTGCTCCTTTAAATCTAACAAAACCACAGCTGAGGGTGGAACTACAACTTACCTCTTCTATAAAAGGGCTTAGTCCAACCAACCCAGCCTGTTGTTGGGCTAGCTTCTCAGCTGCTTGCACCTGCAACCTGGGGTGCATCTTTCTTGCCTTCTTATTCTGCTTTACTTTCCAGACTCTCTCTGTAGGTCATCCCTGGCCTTCCTGCTTTCTTAGCTATAGATGTCACCTGTCCCTGCCCCCTCATCACTCTCAGGGTCAACTGATTCTCTGAACCCCCCAAATCACACCCCAACACAGGGCAAGACCCTCTGAATTAACGTAGTCTCTCACTCTCTCTAATGTGTCCTACCTGCCCCAAATTTTGTAGCTTTTAGCTTTAAAAACACACACATGCCAAATACATAGGCATTGATGGAACACTCACCTGGGTGTCGTGGGACATCCCGAGCTACCTCATAGTACCTGTAGAAAAGCTCCTTCCATAGGACCTCATCTCGAGCCACGGCCTGCCACTGGCGGCATGCCTGTCCTGCTGACAGCACATCTTTGTAATCCAAGTACAGGAAGATTTCCAAGAGGATGCTGTCGGGTAGGAGGGGGTTAACCCCACCATCCATAGTGTCATTCTGTCACTCCCACGTTCCCTGGAAAGAACAAATGGGTGAGGGGGAAAGACACGGGGAGGTGTGGGCAAGTATTGATGTCTTCAGCATGAGAAATGGGAGGATTAAAGCCAAAGGAGGAAACTGCAGTGAAGCATCTCTCTTCTTGGAGCCACAAGCAATGGGGCATCTCTTTCCTGACAAGCCTGTGTGAACCTCTCAGGGCTGAAGTCCAGACATTAAAGTGCATTGGCTGAACTCTATCAAAACACTCTCTGCTCACCTCTGGTGATGACCTGTGAGAAGGTGCATCGCTGCTTGTTAAAGCTGCATTTTATTAGACTGGCTGAGCCCAGGTGGCTGGGGTTGCAAGTTACGAGAAAAAGCAGCAGGAGTGACATCTGGCTCTTATCCGCCCATCTCCACTGACCAATCCTGTTCTCCTGGCCAATTTATTACACAGGCACCCCAGTTTTCAGACAGTCATCTCCCTTAGCAGCTTGCCTTGATCAAAAGGGGCAGAGATCTCTGTCCTCAGGCTTACCAACTCAAAGGACAAGCAGAGGACAATCTGACAATGACTGCACTTCTCAGTGGGGACCAGGCTGTGTTTCCCTCACCGGTAGTCTTGCTCGGAGGTGATGCAGCAACCCAGCAGCTATTAATTTGGTGACAGAGGCCAGAATACCCCACTCCTTCCTCTAGCAATCCCTGGGCACCCGGAGCAGAGTTCTTTCTGGTAGAGACGGTGGGAAACAAGGTCCCCAGTGCTGCTTGTTTTGTGGGCCAGGTTGGTCTCCCCTTTGCCATTGTGCCCTTCCTGGGAGACAGAGAGGGAAGGGGGTGTAACCTCCCCGTGGGAGATGCCAAAGCAACTTTTCCTTCTCTTCTGCCGTCTTTGGGCACCTGGCAGCAAGTGCCACTTATGCCCAGATTCGCCTCTCCTAGTTTCCTCCTTCTTGCAGACCTAAAAAGGGCTCCCTCCCTGTAGTTGCGACTCCACTTTCCGTAGTCGCTACTCCACATACTCCACTATGTGATTTCCCCCATAGATCTCTCCCTAATAGAGAGTCCCTACTACTTCTCTCATTCCTTTCCAGTCTCCCAGGCAACCAGTACTCACCCCGCATTCTTCAGTAGACCCTCTACCAGCTGCTCTTCCGTCACTTCCGGCTCCCCATCCACTTCCTGCTTTGGCTATGGGGCCGTTTTTCCCCGTTTCGTCTATGGGCACCGTTCTAGGCACTTCTGTCTGTTTCCTCCAGCGCAGGTATGACAGTCGCTGATGGCAGCTCGATTCCCTGATCAGACCTTATGAGCCGAGCCCAGAGCGAAAAATCCTAGTCTTGCCACCAGAGGGAGCTCTGCCTTTTTGGGCCAGATTAAATTTGCAGTCTGGAATGGGAGGAGGAAAGCAAGGCAGGACTGGTTATGTGGCCAAAGTATTTTTAAATTCAATTGAACAAAGTTTGAGCAAGAACATGACAGTTCCTACTGAAAGCCAGTTTGGTGTAGTGGTTAGAAGTGTGGACTCTAGTCTGGAAGACATGCAGCTGCTGGTGTGACCTTGGGTCAGTCACAAGTTCTCTCAGAGCTGTTCTCTCAAGGGCAGTTCTGGAAAGAGCTCTCCATGTTGGAACCTCAATGTTCAGAAGAAGAGATTGGATTTATACCCTGTCCTTAACTCGGAGTCTCAGAGTGGCTTAAAATCTCCTTTCCCTTCCTCTCCCCACAACAGACACCCTGTGGTGAGAGGTGGGGCTGAGAGAGCTCTGAGAGAACTGTGACCGCACCCAGCAGCTGCATGTGGACGAGTGGGTAATCAAACCGGATTCTCCCAGCTTACAGTCCACTCTCCTAATCACTACACCAAAGTTGTCTATTTGGAGTACCAGATGCTGCGGGTAAACAGGGGAGGCTGGTTGTCTTTGTGCCCTGATTGTTGCCTTCCCAGGGGCATCTGGTTGGCTTTTGATGGAAGCAGGAGGCTTGGCCAGATAGGTGGACTCATTGCCCAATCTAGCAAGGCTATTCTTTCTTTTGATTTGCAAATCTATACAATCTGGAGCAGTAGTTAATTTTCCACAACACAATGGTGGCATCCTGCATTTTGGTTCCTGGTTATGTGGACAAAGTATGTACATGCATGCTTTTTGTCTGGGTGGGGCTACTGGACAGAATCCCACCCACCCGTATGTCTTCCCTGGTCGGAGGGAACTTGTGAACAGGCCTTCTGGTTAGTGTGTTTGTGTGCTTACAGTCTTTCTAAACAGGTTGCAAATAGAAGTCTGACAGAATATAAGCACAAATACATCCAGTCTATGTTGGTTTGATGCTCTTCCAGGTGAATGTCTCTACTCTGTGACACTGGGAATCAGTGCTGTTGTTGGCCTCCTGGGAATTTGTTCCCTTTGTGTAAACAGCCCTTGTGCCTGCCCTGGCCTCTGATCTCTTCCCAGAAGGACAGCAGGACTGATTAATGAGCAGCCAGATTTCCACATCCTGCGTATTGGTGTCTGCTGGCTCATTGAGCATGGCACCTACCATATTCTTCCTCCTCGTCTCTGGCCTGCTGTTTGCATCTCCCTCCCATGCCCGGAGAAAGCGCTCCCCTCTGGAGAACCCCATTGACAGGATCAGTCCTCAGGCAGACTTCGACCCCAGCCAGGTGAGAATGTAGGCCAGGAGGCTTTGGAGTGTGTTTTGTAGGCTGTGGGGAACAGGTTGCCAGGTCCCCTCTGGCCACCAGTGAGGGGATTAGGGGGTAGTGTTGCCAGATCTAAGTTGGGACACCCCTGGAGATTTGGGGGTGGAGGCTGGGGAGTACAGGGACTTCAGTGGGGTACAATGCCATGGAGTTCACCCTCCAAAGCATCCATTTTCTCCAGGGAACTGATCTCTGTACTCTGGAGATAAACTGTAATTCCCCAGGTCCCACCCGGAGGAGGCTGGCAACCCTAAGCAAAATCCACCCTTGTTCTCACATGGCGGGGGGAAAAAGGGAAGTTTTATTTTTAGAAACAAAAAAAATGCTCTCTTAAAAACTGCCTCTTCCATGCAAGCCATGCTTTTGCAGTCATTGGCTGAACTGCTGTAATGTCACAGCATGTTCACGGACATTCTGCAATGGCATGGCATTCTCTCGCAATGGATTTTCGTATCTTAGAAATGGTTTCCTGGCTTCAATTCAGAAGTCATTCCTTCCTTTCCTGTTAACAGTTTCTTCTTTGTATAGGCTTCAGAATATTTTGCAGAGCTGAAGGTTGTGGAAGAACCTCCAACCAGGGAGTTCACCTGGGGTGTAAAACCCATAACTTTTATCCCCTCTCACTGTGGTGTTTGTTACAGCCTCCTGGTTTACATTTCCTTATCTTTCCTTCACTTGGCCAAGGACCTTCCTGCTAAGCCACTGACAAAGGCAGCCTCAGTGCTGAGTTGAGCCTCTGCCAGGGATCCAGGTGTCACGGGGGCAGGAGGAGAAGCCAGGGGCCACGTTCACCCCTCTTTCTATCGTAAAGTGTTTGCACTGTGAGTAACCTGGCTTGACAGTGCAGCACTACTAGTTTTTTGTTCCAATTTGAAACTCTCATATGATATTTTTAAAAATGAGTTTTTGAATTTTGATTTTCATAAGTTAAGGGTGGTCACTGACACACTAGTCGCTAAAGACTTTTGGGACTGGCTTTGAGCAATCTCAGTCTTACATTTCTATTTCACCTTTTTGTTGTAAAATAGTCAAAAGTGTTTAATACTCAGACTATCAATGGATCTTGCTCTATTGGAAAGAAGAGATTTCTTTGCTTTTAAAAACCTTTAGTTCTAAGGGTAAAAGGTACACGGGATAACTACAAATAAACATAACACTAACAGCTACATTTTCTAAGCTGTCTATAGTCAACACTAACACAGAGATAATGGAGAATCTGTTTCTTCTCGACCCCTAGAAAGGAAGTCACCTGGAACAAACAACCAATCACTTATCACAGTAGAAGGTACTTCCCCCCCCCCAGCTAATTCCCCATTGGCTCAATGCCAGATATCCCTTCCAGGTCAGTCTAAACAATAGCAATACTAGGCAAACAAGTTAACCCTATAATGACTGAATTGTCAGACCTTGTAAACACATGCATTTCCAACACTTTCCTCCCTGGTGGAAGTGCACGGTGGCATGCCTCAGGGAGCTTGGGGAGGGTCATCTGGTTCCACCCAAATAATTTTTCCTTTTTTTTTTGCCCCCCGAAGGGGTATTTTTTATTGCATTTTCTATAAACTACAAAGAAACAAGGAAGGGTAACTATAAACTACAGGTGAAAGGAAAGAAAACCACTAAAAACCCAAGAGGTGGTGGCCATTACATAAGCTTATAAAAATTTGCTAAATTATTAAAGATAATTAGTTACATTGAGTGTGATCAATAAATGTAGGCTTGTATTATCAAAACCAGTAAATGTGACTTTAAGGGATTTCACAAAAGAACAGCTAATAAAAGTATCTACTTAAGGCAAACTTTAGAGTCATTCAGCATTTCATTTCCCCCCCTTCTGTTCCTCAATTGATAGCTTTGTTTGGGGGTAGCTGTCCCCTGTAGCGAGTCAGAGTCTTCTTCAAAAGTTGTAGTTTCAGAGTCATTATCTCTTCCTTTGTTGCTGTCATCTTCTTCTTTGCCATCCTCTCTTGTAGAACCAAGTTGCTGGTTCAGAAACTCCCGAGCTTTAGTAACAGAGTCAATTCTTTCCTTCTTGTCATTTAGCTTGAAGAGAATGACCTTGGGTACTAGCCATCTGTAGAGGATGTTGCTCGTCTGCAAAAACACTGCCAAGTCTTTGAATTTCTTTCTCTTCTTCCTGATTTCAAATGGAATATCTTTCAAGACCCTTATTTCATTGCTATCGATTTTGAGGGATGCTCGTGATGTTGCTTTCAAGGTTTGATCCCTCACATGTCTTTTAGATAATCTGACCACTATAAAAATATTTTTTCCATTTTTAATTGTTTTTGCCCCAAAGAGTAAAGTTTCATGAATGTTTATGACCGAGACACTTTTCACAAGATACACAAAGGATCTAAATTAATCGTATATGAAAAAATTCATCTGAATAGCGTATTCCCATCTCTTGAACTTCAACATATGGGGCAGAAAGACGGGGTACAAATTTTGTAAATAAAATAATAACCTTGGTGTTCTCCCGGCCTCTATATCCATTTGCAGCACTTAATTTGCCCAGCTGTGTTGGTCTGAAGCAGCAGAACCAAGTTTGAGTCCAGTGGCATCTTTAAGACCCACAAAGTTTTATTAAAGGCATAAGCTTTCGTGTGCATGCACACTTGTTCAGATAGAGATACGCCTGTATCTGAAGAAGTGGGTGTGTACACAAAAACGTATACCTTGAATAAAACTTTGTTGGTCCTAAAAGTGTCACTGGACTGAAATGTTGTTCTGCTTAATTTGCCTGTTAGTAATTTGAACCATGGTCTTTTAAAAAAAAGTACATTAAAATATTTTCATTTCTGCAAATATGAGACTCAAAAGGATCTCAGATATCAGCTGCTGGAAAGGATCGTTCTCTGTCTAAGACTGAATGGCTGCCAGTCAGCTGAGGCAAGACTAAGCTAGAGGGCTCTGGGCTCTGAACTGGTAAACGACGGTTTTATTCCCCCCCCCTCTTTTCTTCTTCTTTTCTTTTAGGTGCCATCTTCTTTTTTACATTTCCAGCAAGCTCCTTTGTAATTCTTGTCCATCTTTGCAATATCTTTTGGGGTGATGTACCATCAGTAAGACATTTTGTACTAATTTTCCTTTAGTGCTTGGCTAGCAGTAAATCCTAGTACCTTTAGTCCATAGGTTTTCCCAACATTGAAACTGTACTTCCTCACTGAAATTTTGCATCCATTTAATCATGCAGGGTTTGACCTGTTCTCCTTCAGAATCATATTGAAGCAATAACCTGTAAATTCGTCCTAATAAATGGTCTTTAGATTGTGAGACAATCTTTTCAAAATCAATCAGTTCATTAATAACTCCTCTCTTGGTGCAGATATCATTTTTTGATTTGAAAGTACACCCACCATTGTATCTCCTTTCCTACTTTAATATCTTGCCACGTCTTGATGCCACCTTGCGAGTTTATCATATCGCCATAAGTTGTAAAATCATTGTTTCTCCTTTTATAATTGCCGTAATAAG